TGTGTGTGTGTGTGTGTGTGTGTGTGTGTGTTATTCTTGTTTAACCTTATTTGGTCTCAGAACTCTCACCTATAAAATTGAGAAAATAATGCCCATTTCTCTCAAGGCAGTTGTGAACTTTAAATGAGAAGATGTATGAAAATGTTTAGCACACCTGGCACACAAGTATTCAACCAACGGTAAACATTATTATGTGTGTATCTACTTTATTATTTGAATCTCTACCATGTAGCATAGAAGTAGCTACTCCGATCTTTGCTGAACAAATCATGGCTAAGATGAGAGAAGAGAACAATGAATGGAATCCAGCGGCTGGCACCCGTGGTTTATGATTCCTTTATTTGCCTCTGTGACCTTAAGATGTGGAGTGTCAGGGGCTGCTGTGGAGGCTTGAAACCTGCTTCTCGCCCAAATGAGCCTTGTTTGGAAGAAGTGTGGTAGGAAAGAGTTAGTACCAGGGCCTCCCTGGAGTTCTGAGCCTCTCAGGGGAATTCCAATTCAATCTCTAGTTCCTTCTCTCCTGCTTCCCTCCCCTATCCTCCCCCACAGCGTTTCTGGAGAGCCTCATAGTGATGGGACTCCCAGTGACTAACCTGTACCTTCATGGGAAGTTGAGGACCCTCTTCAACACCATCTCTTACATAAAGCATCTTCTCTTTTTCCAGGTCAGGAAGAGTCTCTCTGTTATAACACACAGCACTTACTGCCCTCTTCTAACTACTAGCTTTGTATTGTTTCCAAACCCTGTGCCCTGCAAGGTCCCTGAGAGGAAAGTCTAACTCTGCTTCCTGTTAGATCAGTCCAGTGAGCTGTACATAGTTCCCAGGTAATGACTGTTGTATTGAATTTTACTGAAGCTGGTCTCGGGGCTGCAGCCTCCAGCTGAGCGGTAAGCCCAGACCTTTCCCCAAACTCTAAGGTGCTACCCTTCCCCAGAGCTTGAAGATACAAACCTCTGCTCCCCGTCCAGACTTTGGGCAACTAACAGCCTGGAGTTCATTGTTTGATTCATTGTAGGAAGTTCCCAGCAATAGAGTTCAAAAGGCTGGCAGGAACCCAGAAGAAAAACTTTATATAGGGGATAGATAGGGATTTCCAAAGTGGTTAACATCGAACTTTTTCCTCTCCATAACTTAAAGTTCATTTTTTTTCACCACCCAGCTATTACACAGGAGTGTGATAGACATTGAATACATGTAACAGCCGAAAACAATTTGAAAGGATTGTGACCCTGTTAGCAGTTAAACTTAAAATGTCCTAGTAGTCATATAAAAGTAAAATAAGGCAATAATTTATTTGGTTCCAAATGTGATTATTCTGAACCATCCAACATGCACAAAATATTAAAGTTTTAATTCTCAATCATCATTACCACATAGCTTGCTAAAGTGCCTGGTCAAAAATAATATTTCATCAATATTATTCTGAGTTGTTTAACTGAATGTAGGTGAAATAACATCTCAGGAAAAACTTTTCATCTCAGCAACTTTCTCACCTGGCACGGAAAAAAAATTACCCTTTCAACTCCATCAATGTCTCTTTCATTGCATGGACCTCAGTTCTGCCTAAAGAATGCTAAAGTGTCTCTTGATTTCATGTGGCTTTTCACAAATTCAGCTAACTTCCTGAGCCCCTCGGTCAGCCCGTCCCCGGTGATGGCACAGCATGGCTGCACATACCAGTTCCGGTTACAGCAGAGCTTCTTCACTTTGAATATTCTGGTGATGTCCTCGGCAGTCAGAGCACCAGGCACATCTTGTTTGTTGACTAATAGGACAACAGGCACATTTTTCATGTGTTCATTCTTCAAAATGTGCTCAAACTCTCTCCTGGAGTCTTCTAGCCGCCGTTTGTCGGTACTGTCCACCACGTACACCAGCCCATCGGTGTGCTCACAGTAACAGCCCCACACGCTTCTCATTCCGTCCTGTCCTCCAACATCCCAGACCGTGAGGGAAAGACTCTTTTCCAACTCAAGCATCTCGACGTTGAAACCTATTGTTGGGACGGTCACAATATCCTTAGCAAGCTTTAGTTTATAAAGGAGAGTAGACTTCCCAGCAGAGTCCAGTCCCAGAAGAAGAATTTGGGCTTGCTTGGCTTTAGGGTTTTTAGAACTCAGCAGACCCATTTTAGGCTCTTTTTCTTTTAACGACGTTTTCCTTTTGGCCAGAGACAAGGCTTCTTCCCCGGGTCTTGCATGAAAATGTCAGGAGGAAAGAAGAGAACAAATGCTTCATATTCTATTCTAAAAAGAGGAACTTGTATGTATTTATGTTGTAGCTTATCAGCTTGATTATAGGCAAACAGTGTTTTATTTGCAGTCCCAGCCAATCCCGAGGAATCGATGGTCTGAGTAACCAGCCAACGTCATAGTGGCTCAAAGGATAAATTCTTTGTGAGTGAATAAGACTTAGGAGGGGCCTGCGTGAGTGATGCTGACCTTATTTTCTCTTCTAGATGTTGGAAATCTAGGGTAATTGAATGTTCAGACATGCACAAGAGTGCAGTTTAGTAGCAGAATAAAGACTTAAAACTTTACAAATGGTTTGTAGAACTTCTCTTGTTATTTGACCATTTATTTTATCCCTGTTGTAAATAAGTAACCAGACTTCTGAAGTCATAGAGAGAATTTATCTCACACTTCCCTAAGCAGTATCTTTAGTACTTTCCCCTTGTCTAGATTACTCAGTAGGAAACTTCAAACCACCCAAGGTTGTCTGAACCCTATTCCCATAGTCACATGAAGAGAATCACTTCTTGAATCTTATAGGCAGAAAATTTACGCTATCCACAAGACCAAATTTGCAAAGGGGAAGTTTGTAACAAACACTTTTAAAATTAAGCAGACAGCCTGATTAAAGATGGCAAATTGATGTTTTGAAATCAATATTTTGGAAAATAGTTCCATGTATTTATCTCTTCTCTATCTCAAGATTCTACCAAAATGATGGTAAAGGAATAACTAGAACATATAAACACATAACAAGAAGATGGGTGGCCGTTAGAGGGTGAGAGATTTTAACAAAATTCTGGCAGATGGAATATAGATGGAAGATGAGTGGTAACGGACGGAGCAGAATGAAGATGAGGCTTGGGGTGCTGATGCACAGGATATAGAGGGAAGGGGTGAAATAAGGGACTAAAAACAGAGGGGTCAACTAAAAGTCTGAATAAGGAACAGAACACACACACACACACACACACACACACACACACACACACACACACACACACACACACGCTAGGTGATATTTCAGCAATGAGAAAAACCGGAGGGTTCTTTTCTAAAGAAATTGAATGATGTCAGAAAAAAAGATCTCCATGTTTTGGCAGTTGAAAGTTTACTCATCATAATAACTGACTCAACATTTAATTAACCTATAGCCAACTTGGCAGTTGTCAAACACTGCTCAGGTACACAGAGTTCCCAATCAGCTTTTCAGCAGACAGAGGGTTCTATACTTAAAATGCCTTTAATATGAATGAGTGAAAGACCAAGATAAAAATAAGTAGGCTTTAAGAAAATTTAAACAGAAGTAGTGCAGGGAACAGAAGAAAAATTTCAGTAAGTTTTAATTAACATTTCCATAGACAGTTAAAAAGATATTGCATCCATAAAACAAGAAATGGATGCCATTAAAAAGGCCACTCAAAAAACAAAAACAAATTTTGAAAATTACAAACATGATTTCCAAAATTTAAAAAGATCAATAATAGGTTGGAAGGAAATCTTTCAGAAAGTAGAAGAAAGAAAATATGAAAGAAAATGTAAGTGATGTAGAGGATCAGTTTATTCCAGAGGGAACATAGAATATGCAAAAGAGGAAATTATCAAAAAAATAATATAAGACTATTTTCCAAAGCTAAAGAACAAACTGTTAAGATTGAAAGGCTTCGGGCCGGCCGAGTGGCGCGATGGTTAAGAACT